GCAGTGATTATGGATGCACATGATTCTGATAAGCTCACACTGCACAAACGTCAGTGTTTCTGTCTCGTTTTCCAGCACAAATATCCAAACATTCTTAAATCAAGATATATTTACTGGAGAAACTACACGACTGAAGATATTCTGTTTTCTGAAACAAGATCATGAAAATGAAGTGAGTTTGTGTTTAAAACCAGAACTAATATCTGTCAGTGGAGTCGGAAGAATCATCTAGTTTTCCCTTTGAATGAAGTTTATTCTTCCGACTCCAGACAGATATTAGTTCTGGTTTTAAACACAAACTCACTTCATTTCTTTATATTTCGATTAACCCTCTGGTGTTTCTCAGTCACACTTGTCTTGTTCATGGTCAAAAGTGTCAAATTCAGTAAAATTAATGTTATATATTTTTGTTCAGTAATATTTTTTATTTTGTTATTTTGAGAGTTTTCATGTTACTAATTATGATCATTTTTTTCCATTGAAAATAATACATTTTTAAAAACATCCGTAATGCCATTGTTTAACTATGTAAAGAGTTTTAAATGTAGATGTAAATTCTATAGTTGTTTAAACATAAAAACTAATATCTTATTAAGTTACTTTTATTAGGTTGTGGATTTATATTTATTTAGACATTCTCAAAGACTACTTTTTGTCAAGGTTTAGATATTTTTTGTCTGAAATGTTGATTTGAAGTATCAGTTTCTGCATTAATCTTCCTAACCCGGATGAATGTGTGGATGGGCCGGAGCTAAAGAGGAGGTCACCTGGAGGAAGCCGATGTGGTCGTGGGACACCGCCTGCGCCTCCAGCCGAGCCCTGCGCTCCTGCAGCTCCGCCAGCGCCTCCTCCAGCTGGGACACGGCGCTCTGCCCTCGGCCAATCACAGCCTCTCTCCTCTGCTCGACTCCGCCCACCAGCTCCGCCCGGATGCGATGCACGGAGTGTGTGACGTCAGACAGAAGCTGCTCGAGCTCCGCCAGCTCGGCCTGAGAGTAGCTCTGAAACACACACACACACACATCAGATGAGTGACTGAGAGTAGCTCTGAAACACACACACACACACATCAGATGAGTGACTGAGAGTAGCTCTGAAACACACACACACACACACACACACACACACACATCAGATGAGTGACTGAGAGTAGCTCTGAAACACACACACACACACACACACACACACATCAGATGAGTGACTGAGAGTAGCTCTGAAACACACACACACACACACACACACACATCAGATGAGTGACTGAGAGTAGCTCTGAAACACACACACACACACACATCAGATGAGTGACTGAGAGACTAGCTCTGAAACACACACACACACACACACACACACACATCAGATGAGTGACTGAGAGTAGCTCTGAAACACACACACACACACACACACACACACATCAGATGAGTGACTGAGAGTAGCTCTGAAACACACACACACACACACATCAGATGAGTGACTGAGAGTAGCTCTGAAACACACACACACACACACACACACACACATCAGATGAGTGAGTGACTGAGAGTAGCTCTGAAACACACACACACACACACACACACACACATCAGATGAGTGACTGAGAGTAGCTCTGAAACACACACACACACACACACACACACACACACACACACACACATCAGATGAGTGACTGAGAGTAGCTCTGAAACACACACACACACACACACACACACATATCAGATGAGTGACTGAGAGTAGCTCTGAAACACACACACACACACACACACACACATCAGATGAGTGACTGAGAGTAGCTCTGAAACACACACACACACACACACACATATCAGATGAGTGACTGAGAGTATCTCTGAAACACACACACACACACACACACACACATATCAGATGAGTGACTGAGAGTATCTCTGAAACACACACACACACACACACACACACATATCAGATGAGTGACTGAGAGTAGCTCTGAAACACACACACACACACACACATCAGATGAGTGACTGAGAGTAGCTCTGAAACACACACACACACACACACACATATCAGATGAGTGACTGAGAGTATCTCTGAAACACACACACACACACATTCATCTACATACTGTAAATTGTGCGAGGGACTGGAGTGTTCTAACGGACCTGCAAGTCGTGTAGTTTGTTCTTCATCTCCGTCAGCTGAGCCTTTCTGTTGTCGATGCACGTCTGCAGGTCCAGCTCTGTTTTACCCAGAAGCCTCTGCGAGGAGAACACACATTAGCATGCGCAGTGAGGGGAACGCTAGTGTGGACGGAGTGCTTTTACACGAAAACGCCGGTTTCAAATGTATCCGGATTCATGTAGACGGGCCTAAGGTGTTGTTTACACGGACACCGTTTTCAAGCACCCAAAATGGCGTTGTCGTGTAAACGAACGGCCAAAACGCATAAAAAGTTGTACGTTTCTAGCCGTAACCGGTGTGGTGTAAGCGTGTCCTCTCTGTGAGTGTGTGTGAGGAGTAGCACCTGTTTGCTGGCGCGCTCCGTCTGCACGGAGACGGTGGTGTGTGTGCGGTGCTCCTCCAGCACACAGATGGCACACACACACTTCTGGTCGGTGCGGCAGTAGACCTCGAGCAGGCGCCCGTGTTCGGGGCAGGTGCGGCCCCTGAGGGCCTCGTGGGGGTCCAGGAGCCGGTGTGAGGAGTAGAAGAGTGTGTTCTGGTGCGGGAGCAGGTGCAGCTCGCAGTACGAGGCGGTGCAGGTGATGCAGGTGCGCACGGCCGGGCTCTTCACGCCGCTGCACACGTCACACAGGATCAGCTCTGCGGGACCGGCTCCGTTAGCGACTCCGGGACCGGCTCCGTTAGCGACTCTCTGCCGCGGCTTGGGTTCGGGAGGCCCGCCGTACCGCATCTCTTTATACTTCTGTGTGATGTGTGCGAGCACACGGTTGATGCTGAGCTCGGGCCGCTCCTGGAACTCGCGCTTGCACAGCGGGCAGCAGAACACGGAGCCGGAGCCGGAGCCGGAGCCGGAGCCGGAGCCCGAGGCCCAGTAGCCCCCGATGCAGGCCTGGCAGAAGTTGTGTCCGCAGGGAATGGAGACCGGCTGGATGAAGAGATCCAGACAGATGGAGCAGGAGAGGTCCTGTTCAGAGGAGAGATCGGCTTCCATCTGAGGATCCTGCAGACACACACACACACACAGACACGCACACACAGACACAGACACACACACACACACAGACACAGACACACACAGACACACACAGAGACACACACACACACACACACACACAGAGACACAAAGACACACACACACACACACACACACACACACACACACACACACACACACACACACAGAGACACACACACACAGAGACACACACATCATTTATTTAGTTTGTTTGCTATATGAGACTAGCAGTAAGCTAGATCAACGTTAGAATAACATACTGATCATATTATAACATTTCATCATGTTGTTGAGCTGTATAACACTAATTAGTTTTATGTACATTTGGTCTCCTGTCTCATAAAGTACATACAAGATACAAGAGCGTCTCTGTCGAGTCGAAGTTAGCCGTGGACGCTAGCTCTCGGCATCTCGAAAACGCCACGCCTATACATAGTTCCCACAGGCCAATTAATGTCATGTGACCTCCCCGGAGACGCCATCTTTGAGGGCATAAGCTGCTCTGTTTACAAAGTTTTACAAGCAAATTTCGAATATTTCTTTCGGTTTCTAATGTTACGAAAATCACGAAGAGACAAAGTGGCAGAGATTATAAAGAGACTCTATAAACACAAGACAGAGAGAGGTACAATGCGAAAATTTCAGTCATAAATGGTGTGGAGGAAGCACAGAGCACTGATTATGCAGCTGTGCCTCATACAGTATTATCATGTGTAACGTTACCATTATCTGGTGTTTTTTACACATGTGAGCAATTCCGAGCCTGGAAATCACTGGAGGCGTACAATCAGTTTATCGAGGGTTGGGTTGGGGACGCTTGCTCAAGTGCAATCAATGGAAAAGTAGTCATCATAGCGAATGTATGTAGCGTGATGCTAGACTATCTGTCTATTAAAAAGCCATATAGCCTTCATAACAGCCCTTATAACAGTCATCGGTGCTTTCTGTAATATGCATGTACTTATTTGTACAGTGTAGAATAGGGTTGGAACGGTAGGCCTACATGTAATCGTATTGAACCGAAACTGTACGGGCGTCACGGTTCAGTTCATGAATATACACGGTATAAAAATAAATAAAACTCGCGTGCAAATAAATGAATGTAATGCGGAACTACTTTATACGGGGGTTCGTTAGGGACATAATCTGAGATTGCAATGCTGGAGTGTGTGTGTGTGTGTGTGTGTGTGAGTGTGAGTGTGAGTGTGTGTGTGAGTCGCGCGCGCGATCGAACTGTGGAAACTGTTGTTTTTAATACCTCGTCATTATCTTCATACAGGACATCATTCAAACTGCAAAGTGTTAACTTGATTATTATCCTCTCAGCCATAACCTCTGTCATTGTTCTGACAAAAGCTTATAGTCTTCTCACATTCATGAAGTCTAAAGACGGGTATACTGTAAAATCCCAATTTAACTGAACCTCCGGCACGATTTGAACATCCATTGACCCAGCAGGAGATGACCATTTTCACTTTTTATCACGAAATTAACTCGTTTCAGCTTCTTCTTCTAATATTCTGCCCACAACATGCCCACAGAAATGGCGCCGGGTCGGCAAATGCCCGTATGTTGTGACGTCATGTGGGAACTATGTATTGATCCTCGTTTTATTTCTCCTTTTGTCCCAAAGTCTGCTTGCCATGATCCATAATGCTTGAGCGAAACAACAACAGCGTGAGCGCGCCGCTAGACGTTACGCAGTTGTCCACGTCTGTCGCCATGGTTACTATGGCAGTACGAGCGGACACCGGGATAACGCGGATATTACGTCAGTGACACGTGAACAGGGACGGGCACTTTTTAAAATTGTGAATTTCTCTGAATTTACAAATTCTTGGAAACATTTGGAATAATGGAAGTACACAATTGAAAGAAATATATAACACTGTGCAAGTGGTTTTTGGATATTTTGATACAAAATTCTTACATATTGTACGTTTAATGTGTCTTGAACGCTCTCTGGCTTCAGCTATCGAGGAGGACGCCGCGCGCGCCAGTGTCGCCCTGGGAAGATCCTTCAGCTCTGATAAACGTTGTCAACATGATTCCAGTTCGCATGGAAGTGACAAATAATTCTGCATTATTCTGCCAGACGTAATATGGTGAGGTCACTTTGTAAAGAACGACACACGCCTGCGCACATATTCAAACACGCATAACCTATAAACACGTGATACGCCTGTGCGCCGTCAGCGTTTTCACAGATTCGTGTTTTTGAAGTTTACGCGATGATCACGTTTTATTTTATTTTATTTTTATTTTATTTTTTTACTTGCACCTTGGATCCTGTTTCAAAGTGTGTGTTCTCGAGCTCAAACACTGATGTGTGTGAATGAACGGCCAGAACACATTATAGTGTCTGTCTTCTGTAAAGCGGTGTCGTGTTAGCGGCTGCTAATGATCTTTACAACGGAAGTGAATCAATCAAAACTAACTTTATCTGGACAATAACTTTATTCTAGAGCTGCTGTAAAGCCTAAACACTCTGTTACTGTAATCTCCTGTTATCACTGTAAAGCTGCTGTGAAACATCTGTATTAATCTATATGAAGGTGACTTTACTTTATAATTCCTTGAGCATTGCAGACATGTATATCACACTGTCAATCACGACCAGCCGGAACCAGACAAAACCAGTAAGAACCAGTAAGCTGGTCTTTTCAGCTTGTAAATGCGCAAACATCATGAATTAGATGTGCACATATCTCAGAACAAAGGTCGTCTACACAAACACTTTGTAAAATGCTGAAAGTCAGGTTGAACAATGTCTGGTTGAGCTTTAGTGAGGTTGCATAATTATTGTTCCAACATACAGCACAAAAAAATGCATTTAATGTAATTTAATATAATAATTACGTTGCATCCTCAAAGGTCCAGTTTGTTCGAGCAGAAGGTTTTTATTTTAGCAGAGTCAGTTTAGCAGGTGTTGGTTTAGTTTTGAAGACTCTTTATAGTAACAGTCAGTGTCTCGTGTAGCCATACAGAATGGATATGATTAAGTGTGTTTATCTTCAGTTTGAGCTCTTCAATCTCTCGCATGGATGATTGACAGCAGGTTATTACAGTACAGCTGAATATCAGACGCTTTATGAACTGATTTAACATTACTGGATTTAGCGGAGATCTGTGATAATGATTTGATTTAAACTAGTTTAACACCAGCCTTCAACAACAGAACATTAATTTCATTAATATGAGAATATACACAGTCAAACATCTCTCAGTGTGATCGCTTACCGTCGCTTATCTGTGCGGAATATGAACGTGTCTGATCTCTTGTGTTGCTGTGCCGCGAGTGTGTTCTCGTGTCTCTGTTCGCGGTGTGTCCTCTGAGATGATGAAGCCGTCGAGTGAGTCTGACAGGCTGAACTAGTGTGTGTGTGTGTGTGTGTGTGTGACAGAGAAGACACGAGAGAAACTGATGTTTGAATGCCTTCCAGCAGAGGCGAAGGAAAACACAACACAGCTGACAAGAAGAATTAAACGAGTGAAAGAATGAATGAAATTTTCTATAAGATGTCGATCTACAGTCCGACTGGTGATGCAGCCTGGATCATAATCAGAACTGAGTCTGGGACTGGGTTCTCGACTAATGAAGCCAGAGGAACCGAAACTCCATCAGGATAGAGGAAAACCCTCGGGAGAATCCAGACTCGGTTCTGATTATGATCCAGACTCTTCTTGTCAGCTGTGTTGTGTTTTCCTCTATCCTGATGGAGTTTCGGTTCCTCTGGCTTCATTAGTCGAGAACAATTCATATTCAGCAGCACTGTTATTAATCTGCATATGAGAACTGAGCTGATGACATCACTGCTTTCTGAACTCGCATCGAATGAAACTGAACTCACTTCAACTGAATAATGACTGTTTTCTGTTGTCTTTTTAGAGCTGCTGTGAATTGCAGAATTTAATTCTGTTTGCAGTATTTCCCTGTTATCTCTGTAAAGCTGCTCTGAAACACTCAGTGCTTTAAGCGCCGACTAGACGTCGGCACATTTATTTTTATAGCACTTTTTACAATACAGATTTTTCAAAACAGCTTTACAGAGATAACAGGAAAATAATGCAACAAAGTTTGTTTCAGTCACAGTCCAGCTTAAGTTCAGAGGGTTCATTTCTGTTGTAAAAAAGTTTATTTGGGGTAACCCGTGATGTCATCGTCCAGCTCAGTTCTCATATAATGGAGTCGATGCAGGAGAGCAATAATATTGATGAATATTAAATGTCCAAAACTAAGCAAGCCAAAAGCGATAGGAACCAGAACTCCATCAGTGACAGAACAGAGGAAGAGCTTGGAGAAACCACTCCATTTACAACAAATTAAACTCTAAAACTATGATTTTAACAGAATAAGCTCATATTGAGCGTCGGCTCACACATGCACCAGCGAGACACAATACTCACATAAGAGACTAATCACTGAAATAAAATTTAATAAAACGGCATAAGCTAAATTCCCTAAATAAAAATTCTAAGATATTTATTCAGCTTGAACAAAAGCCAGTTCTTGACCTTTGACTAAAGCGGTGGAGAAGTGCAGATCTTGAATGTTGTCGAATCTCAGGCACAGAAACGCCAGCCGTGTTGCAGAGGACAGGTTTACGGGTGGCAGAGACTGAAAGCTTGAATAAATCTGCTAAGTGCACGTGTTGGCAGTTTGAGCTTATAACATTAAGGCTACCCAAAATGCACAATTCAACTTTGCATTTTAATTTGTTTTATTAATTTGTTTTATTAATTTCTTTATTAATGCGACAGCTAAACTCAGTGTGATCCAGCTGAACATTCCTCTGATCCACATCATGTCAGGCTGGATTTAAAACCAAAGCTAGTTTGGAGAATCATTGAATAAAGAGAAGAATATGAAAGTGAGATTCCAGTTTTATTTAAACAAGTGCTCCAGACACACACACTCCAGCAGGGTGTGTGTTCACTCGTAGAGCCAGTCCTGCGCGCAGCTCTTGTAGCTCACCAGCT